CCTTCTTAGCAGTGCATATTGCTGCAAAATTAATCCACGGATAGAATCAGCCCATCACCATTTGAGAACCATCCCCATTTCCATAATGTCCACACCTGTGGCCAGAGACAGCTCCGTATTCCCCGGATAAAGCAACTCCAGTGGCTGGAACGAGCTCTCGGCCCATGGCATCGAGGATGGCTTCACTTGAGGAACCAGCCTGCAACAACAACCACACCCCACGTTGGTTTAAGCTCCAAAATCATCCACTGCAGGCTAAAAGCAGACAATCCTTATGCTGGCGCTGTGTCTGGAGCTGGATCACTGAGACAAAATTCCAGGGACTCCCCTCCCTTGAAAATCAGGGAAGGCAATTAACTACTTAAAGATTTCACCAAGGGATGTGGCAAGGCCTTTACCTGCAGAAAGAAATCTGATTGTCACTTCAAATGCACCCTTGACTGTCAGTGCTCCGAGCTACACCTCACACTCCCAAACCCACGTGGAAAAGCCCACAGCTAAATGCCAGGGTACTTCTGGAGCCCAGTGGATTCCAGATGTTGGCATTTTGGAAGACTCTCTTGGAATATCCACTTGTCACATCAAGTGCCACTAAACCTCTTCAACAGGGAAAGCCCTCTGGATTTTTTTAAATGTGGAATAGCCACACTGAGGGGTTGGATCACCAGTCACATGAGGTGAGAAACTCTGGAGCAGATCTTGGCCTGATGGCACAGGGATCCAGCAGGAAGGTTACTGCCTACCCTGTGACTCTTCAGGAAGAAGCCCCATCTCTGTGCTGACACTGACAGAACACCAATTCCTAAATCACAGGTTTTCCCATTCAGAGCCAGCTTCAGAAAACCTCTTCTTCCCAAAACACCCCCTCCATACCCAACAACTCCAGCAGCAGGAGCTCTCAGTGCTGGTTCCAGAGGATGATGAACACTAATTACCTCGCTATGGGACTCTTTCCTAACACTCTGTGTCTCCAGTGTCACCTGTCAACAGCTTTGTTGTGACACACTCATCCCGCACTCCATAATTAGCGCTTTCAACACTCCAGTATTAAACATTCCAGCCAGAATTCCCCAGCGACAGCCACAGGAACTCAGAGCTGACTCCTTACCGAAATATTCCACATCATTTTGATAGCTAAGGGAAAAGCCCCTTTCGGTTGGTGTTTCACTACAGGCTCCTCTTCAGCTGCCCGGGGAGCTGAGCCATGATCCTGCTGCACGGCTGGGAGATGGCTGCTCTCCACACATTCCCCAGGACTGGGAGAGAAAGGAATGGCTGCTTCGTACACGGCAGCGCTGCAGCCCTTCCCGATGGGTTGGCCGATGAGATATTCCTCCAGCTTGAAGCCCTGCCAGCGGAAGGAGCTCAGGGGATCTTTCTGAGGCTTGTTCTTCCCAACAAACACCGTCTGAAAGGAATAAGAACAGAAGAACATGCTCAGTTATTCCAGACTTCCCAGCGAGGGGGAACTTGGTATTCAGGTGGTGTTACACATCCTGTTGGGTTGGTCAACCTGAAAGCCACAATCAGGCTCTAACCACTGGGCTCAGATCACTGTATCCAGGAGGGAAAGAATTTGCAGACCATGTATTTTTGTCTGGAACAATCTACTCCTAAAATAGCCTTTTCCAAAGGTGCCCTTTCTGAGGGACAAAAAGGAATGGGGAGGGAGATTCATTTGCCAGTCTAGACTATAAATATATTTTGCCCAGAGAAGCTGTGGCTGCCCCATCCCTGGAAGTGTTCAAAGCCACGTGGGACGGGGCTTGGAGCAATCTGGGATAGTGGAAGGTTTCCCTGCCCACAGCAGGGGATAGAATGAGAAGAGCTTTAAGGTCCCTTCATCCAAAACCATTCCATGATTCCGTGATTGTGTAAAGAGAAGCCTAACTGAATACTTCTAAAAAGAGATGCACTATTACATTTTTCTTACTCTCCATAAATAAATCAGGCAAACAGCATTTAAAAGAAAACACAAATAAGAGCAACGACAGGAAAAACAACGCCCTGAGCTTCTCTGGCAGCCAAGGATTGGTTAGGTCGAGTAAGAGTGAATCCGTGACGGGAGGGAGCTGGGGGAGGAAATCAAGAGATGTGAGAAAACAACACACAGGAGGCTGTTCTGGAGTTTAAGCACAGGTCTGGTGGTGCCCTAATTGTCACCTGTACTGATACAAACCAGTGCACTTCCCCACAGCCCCAGCGTGGCGGTGGCCACCTCAGGGATGTGTCATGGGACAAAGGGGACACAGATTCAGGGACAGCAAATGGAACTACCTGGTTCCAGGGGAGAGAAAGCATCCTGAGAAACTTCAGGGAAAGGCAGAACCTCCACAGGAATGTGTCTGCCAGCCAGTGGAGCAAGTGACAGGTGGCTCTGGGCACCAAAGGTCTATTTTTATCCAGGAAATATGTTCAGCACCGTCCGTCACCAGAGCCCTGCCAGCACAGCACAGCCTGGCCCAGCACGCTGGGTCTGTCTCAGGGAGAGGTGATAAACCTGGGGGTCAACACCAGTGTCCTGGGACACGAGACCCCCACCAGCAGGGCCCTGACCCACTCCCTTTGTGGGGGCAGAGGGAGTGAGGGGCTCCCCACCGTGATGACCCACCAGTACCTGCTTTAGGGGGCTGCTGAGCAAGAGGCTTCTCCAGGACCCTAATCTGGGGAAGGAAGAGGTGCCTGTGGGGCTTCTCCCAGCAGTTCCCACCTTTGGGGATGTGCCTGAGGGCTGCTCACAGCTGCACCCTCCAACCTCCTCGAGGGAAGATGGGGAGCTGTGTTTGTGGGGTGCTCCCCACTGCAGCGACCCTCCTCTCCCCTTTATGGAGGGTGTCTGCGGGGCTCCCCAAAGCGGGATCCCCCCCTCGCCTTTATGAGGGGTGTCTAAGGTGCTCCCCAAAGCAAGGACCCCCATCCCCTTCATGGGGGGTGCCTGGGGGGACTCCTCAAAGTAGGAACCCTCTGTGCCCTTCACGAGGCGTTTCTGAGGGTCTCCCTAAAACAAGGTCCCTCCATCCCCTTCATGAGGGGTGTCTGAGGGGCTCCCCCAGCAGTGCCCCCTCCCCTTCACGGAGGGCGCCCCAGCGGGATCCCCGCCATCGCCGCCCCCTCCCCACCTGGATATGCCGGCACGCCGCCTCGGCCCGTCGCTGCTCCTCCAGGCGCGGCTCCACCAGCCCCAGCGCCATTGCCAGCGCCAGGCAGGCCCCGCCGGGCCCCCGCCGCGCCACGGCCGCCAGCCCGCCCGCAGGGCCGCGCAGGAGGAGGCGGCCGGCGGCCGGCAGCCAGGACAGCCACGGCCGCCATGGCGAGGCCGGCGGGGCGGCGCGGAGGCCGGTGCAGGGGTCGGCGCGGGGGTCGGTGCGGAGGTCGGTGCGGGGGTGGACACGGGGGGCGCAGGGCGGGCGGCACCGCGGCAGCAGCCGCAGGGCCCGGGCCAGGAGCAGCCGAACAGCCATGGCGGCCTGAGGGACAGAGGGGCGGGGCCGGGGGCGGGGACAGGGGCGGGGACAGGGGAGAGAGGGGCCAATGGGGAGGGAGGCCACGCCCACGGGCAGTGTGAGGCCACGCCCACAGAGGGCACGGGACGGGGATGGGAAGAAAGGGGAATGGAACAGGGAATGGAGCAGGGAATGGGGTATGGAATGGAATGGGGAATGGGGCAGGGAATGGGGTATGGAAAGGAATGGGGAATGGGGCAGGGAATGGGGTATGGAATGGAATGGGGAATGGGGCAGGGAATGGGGTATGGAATGGAATGGGGAATGGGGCAGGGAATGGGGTATGGAATGGAATGGGGAATGGGGCAGGGAATGGGGTATGGAATGGGGTATGGAATGGAATGGGGAATGGGGCAGGGAATGGGGTATGGAATGGAACGGGGAATGGAGCAGGGAATGAGGAATGGAGAAGGGAAGGGAATGGGGAAGGGAATGGGGCAGGGAATGGGACGTGGAATGAGGCATGTAGTGGGGCATGTAGTGGGGTATGGAATGGGGCATGGAGTAGGGACAGGGAATGAGGCATAGAATAGGGCATGGAATAGGGCAAGGAATGGGACATGGAGTGGGACAGGGAATGGGGAATAGAATGGGGCATGGAGTGGGGCATGGAGTGGGACAGGGAAATGGGGCATGGAATGGGGTATGGAATGGGACAAGGACTGGGGCAGGGAAGGAGGCATAGAATAGGGCATGGGATGGGGCAGGGAATGGGACAGGGAATGGGACAGGGAATGGGGCAGGGAATGGGGTATGGAGTGGGGCATGGATTAGGGCATGGAGTGGGGCATGGAATAGGGTATGGAATGGGAGGGCATGAAGTGGGACATTGAGTGGGGCATGGAATGGGGCATGAAGTGGAGTATGGGGCAGGGAGCAGGACATGGAGCAGGGCAGGGAGCAGGACACGGAGCAGAGTGCAGCCAAGGTACAGCCCTGTGCAATGCAGGGCATGGAGCAGGGCACAGCTGGGTGTGCCTTGTGCTTGGCAGGGCATGGAGCGGGGCACAGCACTGACCTGGGCACAGCACAGAATCACGGGATCATGGAATGGTTTGGGCTGGGAGGGACCTTAAATCCCATCTCATCCCACCCCCAGCCACAGGCAGGGACAGCTTCCACTAGCCCAGGTTGCTCCAAGCCCCGTCCAACCTGGCCTTGGACACTTCCTTGGACACTTGTGGATGAGGCAGCCACAGCTTCTCTGGGCAACCTGTGCCAGGGCCTCACCACCCTCATTGTAAAAAGCTTCTTCCTCACATCTAAATCAACCCTCTTTTAGTTTAAAACCACTATCCCTTTAAAAGACCTGCTAAAAAGTCCGCCCTCATCTTTATTATATCTTTATTATAAGTCCCCTTTAAGGCACATGAAGGGGTTCTAAGGTTGAACCTCATGATGTTCCCACGTCACATCCACTGCCCCTTGGCCCTGCCTGGCAGCAGGACAGCCCAAGGACCCCACTCCCAGTGTTCCATCACTTGTTACTGCAGGAGATAAACCAGAACAGCTTTTATTTGGCTTGGGCATGGGCTGAAATGCCCAACCCAGCATTGGTTGGGAAATATCACACATTCATTTGTCATTGTGCATAATTAAATCAATAGTACAATCAGCAAATGGCACTACTCTGGAGGCACAAAACTCTGCAGAAGCAATCAAAAATTCTTCATTCTCTTCTCCCCCATAAATGGAACAAAAGCAAGGAAAACAAGCTGGAGAGAAACGAGCAAAGGACACGCTCAGTGCAATAACCATCCCATTCCAGCAATCCACCTAATCTGGGCTGGCTCATTAATTACTGCTGGGGCTGATAGAGCTTTTCCTTTTGGCTTTCACCTCTCTTCAGAGCTGAAGAATCCAGAATTTTCCCAAGCAATGATTTTGCATTATTTAGGAGTTATTTCTGTATCAACAAGCCCGAACTTGAGCCATGCATCAAACTCAACTCCTTCCTTGGCTATAAGGATATCTGGACATTTTTTAATAATAACAGGGAATTTCTGTGATTAGATTTTGTTGTTTCCTCAGGGGGAGGTGGAACCAGTGTCTGTGAATCAACACAATCAGAAGATGAGAGGAACAGCACTACAAATGCATTTCCAGTTGTGTCTTCCCCAAAAAGCCGCTTACACACTGAGGAAACTGGGGAAAACCATCCTCCTCTGCTGCCCCAGGGGCAAAGGATGGTGGTGGCCATGCTGGTCACACCTTCTTCAGGTCCTCAGGGCCAAAGGAGAGTGGCAGCAGCTCCTCCAACCTCTTGACAATGTAGGTGCCATCTGCTTTGGTCAGGTAGACATCCCAGTCCGTGCCAAACTGGAGGAGAAGAGTGGGGAGAAGAGCCTGATGAGGGAGAAGAAGGAGAAGGGAGAAGAACCTGCACTTCTTCCCCAAATTACTCCTGTAATCCTTTGTTTCTAGGTTCAGGGGGAGCATCCCCCTCTATTGCATGGATTTTGGGTTGGCTTATCAGCATCACCCCCTTAGAGGATATTTTGGGCTCAGATCCTGTGTTTTTACCCCCCAGGGTGAGCCCCGGTGCCTCCAAACTTCCTGAATCCCACCCTCAAGCCAAGCCCCACAACCCATTAAATATTAACCACCCAAAACCGGGCTGTGGATGCTGGGGTGCCTGTGGGGAGGAGGGAAGTGAGAGAGGGATGGGATCTGCGAGAAGCTCAGCTTTTCCAGGAAAACCTCTGTTTTCAGGCTTGCCAGAGGTGGAGCAACGACTCCAGGGCCAAACTCTGCACCTGCAGGAACAAAACCCCCTGGGAAGGGGGAGCTAATGGATTCCCACCAAGCACCCACTCACATGGAATAGGGAGGAATATCCCTTTCCCAGCGGATAATGCAATTTGAGGAGCCTGGAGCCAGCCCTGGGGCTGGGGGTAGAGGACTGCACCCCCTTTTGGCACCTCTGGGTGTTTTAGGGGGAGATGCCTGGGGCCAAGGGATGATGTCTGGGGTCAAGTGATCTTCTCTGGGGTCAGGAGGTGGTGTCTGGGATCAGGGGGTGAGACACAAAGCCCCCACAAGAGCCGTCACCTCTCTCATCACTTGTCTGCAGGCGCCGCAGGGTGTGATGAAGTCCCCCATGTCACTGCCAAAGGAGAAGGGCACAGAGCTCAGTCCTGAGGCCAGAGGAGGGGGGAACACCTGCAGAAGACCTTCATGCACCAATAAATACGGAGCTACAGCAGATTTCCCCCCTAATTCCTCCAAACAAACCAAGCAAAAACTTTCTTTCCCCCCAAATGCTGGGGCTGCTGCTGCAGAATCTGCCCACAGGGTGCACTGGAGGTTTTCCTGCTATCCCCCCATCCCATCCTTCCCTGTTCCAGCTCTCAGAGCACCCTTACCTGGCGATGGCCATGGCCTTGAAGCTGGTGTGCCCCTCTGAGATGGCTTTTTGGATGGCAGCTCGCTCAGCACACATCCCCAGGCTGTAGCAGGCATTCTCCACGTTGCACCCTGTGGGGAAAACCCCCAGCACCAGCCACCCCAAACCCCACCGGGGAGGTTTTTTTTTAAATTTTTTTTGTCGTTGTTGTTGTTTTTAGGGGAATTTGCAAAGAAAACCCAGTTTCCCTGATTCCCTTATTTATTTCCTGTACTTCCCCATTCACCCTGATCTTTGGCTCGCTCCGGGCCGGCGGCTGCCAGGAGGCAGCGGGGGAAGGACACACAACACCAACACCCCGGGATGACCCCGCTACACCCCCGTGCACTCCCAAAAGGTCGCTGGGGGCTCCCAAAAAATCCCAGGGTGGGGTCTTAGGGCCACGACTTACCGGAGAAGATCTCCCCACCCGCCGTGAGCAGTGCAGCTCCCACCGGGAAGCGGCTGTAGGGGCAGTAGGCACAATTTTTGGCCTCCCGGCTGCGGCGCAGCAGGAGCTGGAGACGGTCCCCCTGGGGCTGGCCCGGGGGCACAGCGGGGGTTGAGCGCTGCCCGCTGCCCTCCATGCCTGCACCGGTCTGCCCTGCCCGCTGACGCCGCAGTTAAATATTTCCTTGCCTGGAAAACAGGCTGGCCAGGACTGCGGGATAACGCCCCGGCGCACAGCCGAACCCCAGGAAGCATCCCTAGGGACAGCCCTGGCCCCCAAAGCATCACGCTCAGGGAGTCCCACATCCCCTCCCTGCCTCCTGTCTCACTTTTTCCAGTTTATCCCGGGTTTTGTTTTCTACTTCCTCCTTCCCCTATCCCGGCAGAGCATTTTTCTGCTGCTGTCTCGTGGATTTTTTCCTTCCCAGTTCAAAACTGGTTCTGTGACTCCAGGGGAAAATGTCACTAAGTCTTTCGGGGGGGGGGGGGCAGGAACAACAGCTCCTGATCAGTGAGATCAAAAGAAATAAATTAATTTGATTGAAAGCATTAAAAATAATATCTATATGTATCACATTTTCACATTTTAGCTACAGGCAGCAGGGAAATCTGGCTGCAGACACAGGTGGTGAGAGCCCCTTTTGGGATGCCCTTATGCTGGAGCCCAAATTCAGGTCTGCTGGTGCTTCCATGGGAATCGCCCCTGGCAGGGTAAAAGGGCTCCTGGGTGATCAGCAAATTGCTTTTTAATTAAAGATTTCTCTATTTTCCCCTGGCCCGAGGAGCTTCCTGCCCCACTTTCTATCTGCAAGGACGGGTGTCACAGCCCCCAGGGATGTATCACTGGGATTTTTGTCCGGTTTGCTGGATTTTGGGAGGATTTTGACCTTACCTGCAGGTTATGCCAGCAAATCTTGGTCCTGGGTCACTGCTGAGAAGCAGCATCCAAATTGGCAGTGGCTTCTGTTGGTATAGGAACTCTGGGAGCTGAGAAGGGAGCATGGGGCAGTGAGACCACCACAGGCACCCCAAGAAACCAAAGCTGGGATCCGTATTGTCCAGAGAATAACCAGGAAACCTACTTTCCTCACACTCTGTGGGTGCTTGTTCACTCTGGAACATAATGATGACAGCCTGGTTCTTGCAAGGGCAGTCAGTCAAGGCAATAGGCAGTGAGAGGAGGGGTCTGACAGCCCTGAATCCTTTTCCTCAGCTTTCAAAGTGCAAATCCAGGTTGTTTTCCCCTATAAGGTGAGCCACAGATTCTCTTGTGCCCCCACTCCAATCTCCATTACCCCAAAAACAGGGAGAAAGAGGGAAAACCAGTCCCAGAGCAGCTGAGGGGAGACACTGTGGGAGCAGATCAGAGCAGGGGGACCCCTCACTAAATAATGTGGGATGTACAAATAAAAGAGCTTTTGGGAAGGGTTTAAACCTGCCCTGTCAATATGGACACCGAGCAATTAAAGAGTCCTTACCTCTGTCAGTGAGGGTGACAGCAGAAGTAATGAGGGATTAGTGCTAATTTGCACTAATTCCCTAATTGCCACCTCCCCAAAACCATCCTTGCACCAGGATCAAACCACACACCGCATGTTTGCAGCAGAAAAGCTGAAAAACAGACAAATTCATACATTTTTTATTATTTTGGCTGTGAAAACCTCCGAGGCTGTCGAGGCCGCAGCAGTGAGAGGAGCAGGGCTGGTGCTGTCTGCCTGCAAAGCAGCTATTTTAAGGTTGTGTTTGCTTCACTCAAACCGTAGAAAATCTGGGAAGCTGCTGGGAAATGGCTTCCTGCTCCCTGCAACACCCTGCTCTGGTTTACCTCCTCAAATGGGCTAAAAGTGGGGGTACACAGTGTAATTTTTCCTCCTTTCTCCTCGTTATTTTTCCATCTCAAAGCAGCTGGAGCATCCCCAAGCATGGGGGGTCTCCCTGCTGCATCTGTAAGAAGCCCCAGATAGCAAAAAAAACCCGTGGAAATCAGGGTTTGAGCCAAAGCAGCTGAATTCTGAGCAGCTTCAGATTCTGATGCAGGACTGAAATCTCACAGCACTCCCCAAAAATCTCCCTCGGGCTGCATTGTGGGGAAATAACACTTCATATTCCCTGGAGGGAAGTTGTCCTGGGGCCTTGGCCAGAGATAAAAGCAACAGGTTAAAAGCCAGCTCAGTCCAAAAGGAAGAGGAGCAGTAAGGAGGTCTGGCTGGCTTGGGAAAACCAGGCAAAAAGCGGAGGGGAGGTGGTTTGGAGGAAAAAAAATGCCAGCAGACCTGCAGGATCCTCAAATCCCAGCGACAGATCTGGGGGGAAAAAATCCATTTTATCATGCCAGGGTCAGAAACCATCATCTGACCCTCCCTAAAATCGTCCTCCCCGGGATTAGAAATCGGGGAATTTTGGCATTTAAGGAGCATGGCTGCTGCATGAAGAGAAGGTGCTATTTTACCCCCACCTCTGTATCCCTGCCGGAGCAGGGAGCGAGCGCGCATCCAAGGAGCCGGTGGGGGACGTTCATCGGCGGCTCCCCGCGTGCTCGGGGAGGTGGAGCAGCCCACGGAGAGCCGCTCCCGCAGCAGCATCAGGCGCAGGCGGCAGCCGGAGCGCGGCGGCTCCTCGGTCCGAGCATCCCCGCATCCTCCCTGGACCGCGCGGCATCGGGGACACGGCAGCTGCATCCCGGGGTAGGGGCTTCACCCTCCGGGCGGGGTGTGTGTGTGTGTGGGGACACCCCCACATCCAGATTTTGCGGGTTGGGGTGGCGGGGGAGGGGGGCTGTTTCTGATCCGGGATTAGCGGAGCCGTGAGAGGCCGGAGAGGAGATGCTGCCGTGGCGCCGGAGCAAGTTCGTGCTGGTGGAAAATGAACGTAAGTGCAAAGGCAAGAGCCTGGGGCCGGGGCTGAGCTACGCGGCGCTGCTGGCCGGGTTCCTGCGCTCCTGCCCGGACCTTCTGCCCGAGTGTCCCTTGGAGCGGCTGGGCAGCGTCTTCCGCGGGAAGCGCCAGAAAGTGGAGCTCAACAAGGAGGACCCGACGTACACGGTGCGGTACCTGGGCAACGCCGTGACCCTGCACGCCAAGGGCGAGGGCTGCACCGAGGAGGCGGTGGGCAAGATCTGGGCAAAGAGCGAGGCGGGCGCCGGTGGGGCCAAGATGAAGCTGACGCTGGGGCCACAAGGCATCCGGATGACGCCGAGCGAGAAGGGGGCGCGGCGGCCGGGCCACGCGTACCTGCTGCACCGCATCACCTACTGCGCCGCCGACCGCCGGCACCCCAAGGTGTTCGCCTGGGTGTACCGGCACCAGGTGAAGAACAAGGCCGTGGTGCTGCGCTGCCACGCCGTGCTGGTCTCCAAGGCCGACAAGGCGCGCGCCATGGCCCTGCTGCTCTACCAGACCTCGGCCTCGGCCTTCAACGAGTTCAAGCGGCTCAAGAGGCAGAGCGATTTCCGCCACGTCCAGCAGCAGCTCCTGGGCGACGCCATCGTGCCCTTGGTGCCCCTGCGGCGGCTGCTCAACACCAAGTGTCCCTACCGCCCGCCCGCCGAGAGGGCCCGCTGTGCCCCGCGCCTCAGCTCCATCCTGGAGGAGGACGAGGACGAGGCCTTCGGCCCCGGGGCGCCTCTGGGGGACCCCGGCAGAGCTGCCGTGCTGCGGCTGGCCAGCGACATGAGGGGGTGCAGCCTGCGCGGCCCCCGGCACCCGCTGTGCTGAGACCCCCGGTTCAGGGGTCGGGGGCCATCCCCGCGCCCCCAAGCCGGTGTTGGGACGCTCCTCGGGGGGTGAATCCGGACAAGACGGCGGCTCCCTTACAAGGAAGACACGCTGTGGGGCGGGTGAGGGTTTGCACCCCTTCAGCCCTGCACATGAACCTGCTCTCGTGCCTCCTCCTCTGCAGTGGCCATAATAATAATAATTATAATAATAATAATAAAATTAATGTGTGTTTTCTGCGGTGTGATGGCGCCTGTGTCTTGCCCGAACGCTGGAGAACAGCAGAGGAAGAGTTAAGCTCGGCACCGAGGCGATTTTGGAGGGGTTTATATTGAATTTACCCCCCGAAAAGGAAGCCGAGGAGGGGCTTTCTGCACCCTCCCTGCAGAACCGAGGGCTGGGGAGAGCTGCTCTGCGTAGCCATGGCAACTCGATTTTTTAAATATAGAGCTGGGGGGGCGGCTGTGCCGCCTGCGTCAGGCAGCTGGGAGGGGGGTTTGGCCCCTTGGACCCCCTCTGGAGAACATGGCCTTGCCTGCGGCCCCCCCGTGCCCACCCCAAAATCAGCGCCAAGGCTCTGAAGACCAACGATTTACCGAAAATTACTAATTTATTTTTTTTTTCTTCCCCTTTTACTGCTTTCTCAGAATAAGCAATGGCAAGGAGATAGGTGGGGCAGGGAAGGGTCTTGTGTGCCCCCCTCCCCCCCAAAAAGGTTGGCAGGGATCTGCCACCCTTATGTGGCCCTGCATAAGATGGAGGAGAAGGACCTTGCTAAATAGGGCTGGGGGTGCATCCTGAGGCTGAGCCCTTGCTCTGGGGGGGTTCATGAGGTGCTAGTGCCCCACAGCCCAGTGATGGGGCATAACCCCCCCTCAAGGTGCTATAGGGCTGGAATTTGGGGGCATACCCCCCTCACAGCCCAGGGGGGACACCCTTTGGTCTGACCCGCCCCTAAGTTTTGTAGGGTGGTGGGATTTGGGCTGCCGCTCATCACCGAAGCACTGCGAGGGTGGTCCCCCCAGCACCCTGGGGGTGTCAGGATTTGGAGCCAGCTACCAAAATCCTAAGGGATGACTGGCATTTGGACTAATCCCCCCCTTAGGATTGTGGGGCTGGGGATTGATGTCCCCCCAAGACCCCCGAGGTGGGATGGGGAAGGACGGGGGGCGCTAGGAATGCTCCCCCCAGCACCATGGGGGTGTCAGGATTTGGGTCCAGCTATCAAGATCCTAAAAGATAGCTGCGATTTGAAATAATCCCTTTTTAGGATCTTGTGCGCTGGACCTTGATGCCTCCCCCAAAAACGCTGGGGTGGGGGGGTGGGGGGGTGGGACCCACCCCGACCCCACAAATCCCTAAGGCTGGGGTTTAGCCCCCTAAAGCCGCATGGGGTCAGGATCTGACCCGCCTCCCCCACATATACCCTGGGGGGGGGGTATTTTGTCCCCCCGTCCCCTCAACAAAGCTCTGGGAGGCCCCTGCGCCCCCCGCCCGGCCTTGGCGGACCGTGCGTCTCTATGGCAGCGCCGCCGCTGCTAGAGCGCCGCTCCTGACGTCATCACGGCGCGCCGGTGGTTGCCGTGGTAACGCGGGGCCCGGAGGCTATGGAGGGTAGCGGGCGGCCCTCGGCCGCACAGGCCGCGCTGTTGGCCGCCAGCACCGCCATCACCGCCCTGCTCTACTCCGTGTACCGGCAGAAGGCCCGCGTGGCCCGCGGGCTCGAGGTGGGTGCGAGGGGTGCGGCGAGGGAGCGCACGGGCCCGGCCCGTAGGCCGCGGCCTGGTCGCGCCGGCTGAGCCGCGGCCTCTGTTTGCTCCCCGCAGGGCGCCAGGAGGGTCCAGCTGGACGGAGATCTGCGGTCGGTGCTGCTGGAGGCTCCCGGGCGCTGCGTGCCCTATGCGGTTATAGAAGGTAGAGGCAGGGCCTGAAGCGGAGCCCCAAATAAGGGGCGGGGGCACAATGCTCCCCTCCCCCACCCCGCAGCTGCTTCTCACTTTGGGGATTTCATCCCTAGCCCCTCGTTCTGTGCCCATGAGTTCATCTTTCCCCTGACAAGCAGCCACTGACTCCTGTCAGGCAAAACATGGGCTCTCAGTCCTTCTACCCCATCTGACAATCGTGGAATGGTTTGGGTTGGAAGAGACCTTAAAGCTCATCCAGTTCTACCCCCTGCCATGGGCAAAGACACCTTCCACTAGCCCAGGTTGCTCCAACCTGGCCTTGGACACTTCCAGGGATGGGGCAGCCACAGCTTCTCTGGGCAGCCTGTGCCAGAGCTTCCCCACCCTCAGAGGGAAGGGTTCCTTCCCACTGTCCCATCTAACCCTGCCCTCTGGCAGTGGGAAGCCATTCCCTGTGTCTTGTCACTCCAGACCCTTCTCCAAAGTCCCTCTTTTTTTGTTTGTTTTAACAAGCCACTCACTTGCCCCTGGGGTTTCCCTTCCAGGTGTGGTGAGGTCGGTGAAGGAGACCCTGAGCAGCCAGTTTGTGGAGAACTGCAAGGGGGTGGTTCAGAGGCTGACGCTGCAGGAGCACAAGATGGTGTGGAACAGAACCACTCACCTCTGGTACGTGCCTGGTGCCCACAAGTGGTCTCCTCCCAGCCCACCTGAGGTGCCCTCTGGGGGTCTGACACCCTGAAATGGCCTCAGGTGTGGCCAGAGTGACCAGGTGCCTCAGAGCTGGACCCCACAGTGGCCCCCCAGTGACAGCTGCCAAAACAGGGCATGTTTGGCTCATTTTTAGGGCTTTCAGAGCTCTTAAGAGAAGAGCACATTGAGTAACCCAATGTGGGCAGAGCATTGATCAGCCCCATCTTGTTATGGAGGATGGTATTTCCCAAAAACCCCCACTTTCAGAGCAGAAATCAGTTGGATTTGGGTGAATCTGAACCCAGGGGACCTGAGGAGGTTCCCAGAGCTACCTGGCCCACCAGAGCTGCTGAAACAAGAGCTTTGGTGATGCTCTTGGACGAGCCACTTGATAACACCTATCAAACTGGGGCATGTGACAGGTGGTGCTTCTCCTCACAGGGCGGTTTGTGACAGCTGGGAATGCCACAGGGAGGGGATTAGGTGGGACACAACCCTCCCCCAGTGATGGTGGGAGGGCCTTGCACACACCTGGACAGTGCTACGAGGGGGAAGGTGCCCCATCAAATAAACTCTGCTTAAGGCGGAGTCAGCCCACAGCTGTCAGTCCCCAAAACCCGACTGGGTTTTGGGGACTGACAGCTGCGGGCTGACTCCGCCTTAAGCAGAGTTGCTCCCTTGGGGTGAGGGGAAGCAGGTTCACTTTCCCCCCTTCTCCCTAAGGAATGACTACGAGAAGATCATCCACCAGAGAACCAACACCACCCCCTTCGAGCTGGTGCCCGCCGAGGACGGCGCCGGCGTCACCGTGCGGGTGGTGAAGCCTCTGGAGGCAGCTGAGCTCAGCCTGGAGACGGTGTACGAGAAATTCCACCCCTCTGTCCAGTCCTTCACCGACGTCATCGGCCACTACATCAGCGGGGAGCGCCCCAAGGGCATCCAGGAGACGGAGCAGATGCTGAAGGTGGGCACGGCGCTGACCGGGGTGGGAGAGCTGGTGCTGGACAACGCCACCATCAAGCTGCAGCCCCCAAAGCAGGGCATGCCCTACTACCTGAGTGCCGTGGATTTCGACTCCCTGCTGCAGAAACAGGAGTCCAGCGCCCGCTTCTGGAAAATCCTGACCGTGGTTTTCGGTGCCGCCACCTGCGCCGTCCTCTTCTTCCTCCTGCGGAAGCAGTACCGGCACCACCGGGAGAGGCAGCACCTCAAGCAGATGCAGGAGGAATTCCGGCAGGCCCAGGAGCGCCTGATGAACGCCGAGGGCGGGGACACCCTCAAAAACGCCTGCGTGGTCTGCCTGAGCAGCACCAAATCCTGCGTCTTCCTGGAGTGCGGCCACGTCTGCTCCTGCCACGAGTGCTACCAGGCGCTCCCCGAGCCCAAAAAGTGCCCCATCTGCAGGCAGGGCATCAGCAGGGTGGTTCCCTTGTACAACAGTTAATTTGTTTGTGGTTCTTGGGAGGGGGGTGGGGAAAGTTTCTTGGCACTTAAAGCTGTCTCTTGCAAAGGGGTTCTTGTCGCCTCGCTGCTTTGGGAGGTGGATTTTGGGGAAGGGGAGGGAGCTTGAGGGAGCGGGTGCTTTGACAGGCCTGGGTCTGAAGAGGTGATTGTGCAGCTGATCACGTGCATCATGTTGTGCTCTGGAGGCAAAGGGTGAGGTGCTCAGGGGGAGACGCAGCTTGAAGCTCTTCTCTTAAAGATTTGGACTCTCAGGGTTTGTGTCATGGTTGCTGAGCCTGTGGTCTCTTGCCTGGCTGATAAAAACATGGGGAAAACAAAAATAAGATGGTTTAAGGGTTCTCAGAGGCTGCAGAATCCCTGTAATGCTGCCACACAGCTCCGATGCAGCAGGGGGGGTCTGTTGGGGAACTCATATGGGGGGTGTGTGAACATGGGGAATTCTGTGATCCCCCCAAAAAAAGGGTTTGTGACACCAGGACATGAGGATGGGGAGGTGAGAACACCATGGCTGATGGCTGTGCTTGGCTTGAGCTGGGATGGAAAACAGAATGTAAAGCAATAAAATAGGATGAAAAGTGTGTTTGTGTCGGATCATTCCCCAGGGGTGTCGGGGTTGTGCTCCCTGGGGTGGACATGCCATGATGGAGGTTGGGTGAGGGGGTGGGAGCCTGTCCCCCCACACTGGACATGACAGTCACTGCTGTCTCCTTGTGACACAGGCAGTACCAAACCCCCAAACTAACACAGAAAAGGAAAATTCCCTTCCCTTACTCCCCTGTTTTGCCATAAATCCTGTATAGTCCCTGCACCCAAGAGGGTTAATGGACCCAAAGCAATTAACATTTGCTGAGGAGGGCAATTAGAGAAACACTCCTGGGGGTGGGGGAGCCTCCAGCAGGAACAGTCAAAAACCCCAGGACTGAAGCAGCCCCTGGGATTTGTGGGGAGATCCCCTCACTCCTTCCGATGCCTGAGGGCAGGCAGAGCTGTTCACATCCCCCCAGCACGGATAAAAAGAAACAGTTTCCCATCGAGTGGCAGGAAAAGCTGAATTTAACACAGAACCGGGTTGTTTCCTTGTTAAACATTAACCAGACCAGCCGGGCAGTGTCCGAAGGCCGTTCTGGCTCTGTGGCACAACCTGCCAGCTGGAGTTTGAGGAAAAGTGGGTCCCTGGTTGTCCCAGTGCCGGGAAGGGCCACAACCCACTGGCTGTAGATGGCAGTGGCTGCCCGCCACGGTGAGGCAGCCTGTGAAACACAGAACCCCAGAGGGAAAAGCCAGGATCCACTCAAAAATCCACACTCAAACCCAGAATACAGAACCCCTCTTGCTGGAAGAGGCGTCCCCCCCTCTCCAGGGGACCAACCACCCCAAAACCCCTCGAAGGGGGCAGCAGGGAGGTCACCCCCTCCTCACACCAGTGCAGGATGTGGCCTTGAGCCTCAACGTTTTGCCTGTGAAACAGAGCCATGAGGCAAAGCCTAAAAATACACTTTGGGGGGGCTGTGCTTCCCCGTTACCTTTCGCCTCCTGTTTCCAAGCTTTCCCTGTGATATCTCGGGCGTAGCCGCAACCTTATGTAAGGAGCTGACAGCTCGGGGGCGGGCGGGGGTGCACGGCAGAGGGGCTCCAGGAGCTCAGGGTTTCAGCAAACAAGGGGTTTGGAGATAGGAGAAGCACCCCAGTCCTGGCACCACCAGGCACTCCGTCCTTCCCATGCCTTGATCCTGCTTGGCCCCAGAACGAGCCAGGCTCCCAATTCCAGAGAAATCCTGCAACCTCGCTTTGAACAAACAGGTTTTTTGCCGCTGTTCCCACTTGTCCCCCCACCTTGGCTTTGCAGAGATGCCTAAACCCCCTCACACAGCCGTGGTCTTTCCCAAAATGGGAGCCCCAGCCTTCCCATCACTCACTTTGCAGCCTTCACCCAGCCTTCCCATCACTTCACCCACAGCGCTGTGGCAACACTGCATGGAAAACCCCTTGGAAAGCCCAAAGTGACCCAAAAGGCTCCCAGGAAAGGCTTGTGCAGGGACATATCCTTGGGACACACAGCCAAGTGCACTCAGACTCTCCCCGTGTTGCAGCCCCCCACAAAGTGCCAGAGGCCCTGAGATAGCTCGTTTCTGCTGGGCTCTGCAGGACACACGTGGGGCTGAGCCCAGAATCCCTGAGGACACGTGCTGGGATACCTGGGGATGTTGTGGGGCGGCCCTGGGTTACCCGGGATTTAAACCGGTTACCTCGGTTACCAAGGATGCCAGGGATGCTGTGGGACACCTCTGAGGTCCCCGGGCGTGTTGGGGGGGGCACCTCCGGGCTCCCCAAAAGTGCTGTGGGGCAGCCCAGGCTCCCCAGGTGGTTTTGTAGGGCAGCTCCGAGCTCCCCAAGGGTGTCTATTAAGCATCTCATAGGTCTCCCGGGACGCTGCGGGGCAGGCGGCGGGGCAGCCCCGGGGATCCCCCGGGGGGTGCGGGATCCATCCCGCCGGGGCGGTGCCGCCGCCGGTGCCGGGGGGGCCGAGCCGGTCCCGCCCCCGCCCCGCCCGGTCCCGCCTCCCGCTCCTCTATCGCCGCCGCCGCCGGAGCCGCCGCCGCAGCCGCGGAGCCGCGAAGCAGCGCCGGCCGGGCCGGGATGTGACGGGGCGGCCGCCCCGCGCCCGCTGCGCCGCTGCCCCGGGCCCGCGGGCCCCGCGCCCCGGGAGGCTGTCGGGGGGGGGCGGCGGCGGCGGGTCCCCCCCCGCCGCCCCCATGTCGGAGGGGCCGCCCTACGGCGAGGGGCAGCTGGCGGGGGACGCGGCCGTGGGGCAGCTGCCCTTCCCCGTTCGCCTCCGCGGCGGCGACGGGCTCCTGGCCGGCGGGCAGGGCAAGCGGCCGCCCAAGCTGGGGCAGATCGGCCGCAGCAAGAGAGGTGGGTGACCGAAGGGGAACGGGGGGGGGCACCGGGATGTGCCCGGGATGCGCCCGGGATGCGGGGCACGGCCCCCAGGGATGGGGTGGGACGCAGCGGGTACCCCCGCGGGGTGTTGAGCGGCGCGTCCCGAGGACATTTCCCTAGGGATGCAGGACACCGAGGGACAGGGAGTGATGCACTGGGCGCCCTGAGGGATGTCGGGCATCGTGTCCCAGGGACCTTCCCCAGGGATGCAGGGCAGCGGGGATCAGCCTCAGAGGGGGGGGGTATGATGCACTGGGCTCCCTGAGGGATGTCGGGCATCGTGTACCGGGCATCTTCCCTGGGGATGGGGCATCGGAAATCTTACCGGGATGCAGGAAACATCCCCTGGGGACAGGACATGGTGCACTGGATACCCTGTGGGATGTCAGGCATTGTGTCCTAGGGACCTTCCCCAGGGATGCAGGGCAGCAGGGACCAGCCCCAGGGATGGGGTATGATGCATTGGGCTCCCAGAGGGATGCTGGGCATCATATCCCCAAGATCTTCCCCAGGGATGGAGCATTAAGCACCTTTCTAGGGGGCAGGGCAGCAGGAAGCATCCACTGGGACAGGGCATGAAGCACCAGGCTCCCTGCAGGTTCAGGCATCACGTCCCAAGGACTGTCACCAGGGTGTTGGGTAGTGGCAACCTTCCTTGGGGACAGGACATTGTGCCCTGGGCACTTCACCAGGGGGTAGGGTAGCAGGGACCTTCCCCAGGGACAGGGCACCATTCCCTGGGGACCATTCCTAGGCCACAGAGGTGAGGGGGACCTTTCCTGGGGACAAGGCACCGTACTCCAAGCCCTTTGTCAGGGCTTCCTCAGGGACAGGGCACCAGGTCCCGTGCCAGGTACCCTCCCTGAGGCCAGGACATGGTGCACGGGGTGCCCCGCGGGGTGTCAGGCACCGCGTGGCTTTGCCACCAGCGCCATCAGGGATGTGGGACCCCCCAGAAACCCACCCCATGGTGACCTTGGGCGAGGGGACCACGGCGGCAGAACCTTCCTCACGCTCCTCTTTCTGCTTTCTAGTGGTGATTGAAGACGATAGAATTGACGATGTGCTGCAAAACCTCTCCGAAAAGGCCCCTCCCGGTGTTTAAAGCCTCCCTGGGGACGCTGGGCTGAAGCCCGGGGCGGGGAGGAGGGGGGGGGGGTCGGTTTACAATGGCAAAAAATAACCCCCCCAGCACCGCAGCGACCACCCGAGCGAGCACCGGGAGCGCCGTCCTCGCCCTCCTGCAATCCCACAGCACCACCACGGCACGTCCCGCCCTCCGGAGGCGCCTGGAGGGGAGGGCAGCGAGCGAGGCAGACCCCAGAAATGAATCAAAAAATAACAAATTAAGAGAAAAAAAAATTATATATATATATATATATAAAATTGGGAAAATAACCACCTGCTCCAGACCCCCCCACCCCGAGGGATGAACGGAGGTGTCACACCACGGTCTGAGTTACTCGGGATTGCTTTTGTCGGGCTGATGAACCTCGTGCCGTGCAAAATTTGGGGGGGTAAGAGGAAAAAAATGGGGCGGCAAAAAAGGGGGGGGGAAGGGAGCAGCCCCCGGGGTCTCCCCCCCGGGCCAGGGCTGTTCCCAGCGGGCACCTTGTTTACATTATTTAATCTTGCAAAAATGAATCCGTGCACTTGGATGTACCACGCTATCCCCTTCCGTATGATTTCTTTTTTTCTTTTTTTTTTCTTTTTTTTTTTTTAATGTTGATGTCTTTGGATGTTGGGAAATTATATAAAATAGATATATATATATATATTTAATTTTAGCCATGTTTTAAGGTTCTCGATGGGGGGGAAAACCAAAACTTTTATAAAGGAAAGGCCCGGAGGAAGAATTGCTGGTTTTATTTTTTAAAGCTTGTACTTCTCGGTTGCTGTGAGCAAAGGGAAAGATTTTATATGTACAGGGGGGCGGGGGGGACGCTCGGCTTTTCTAACTACATGCAGTCTGTAGTGTGGGTGATCTTGGTTTCTTTCTTTTTTTTTTTCTTATATTGTGGCAGTTTCCTCTCTTTAATAGACTGTATTAAAAATATATATATATAAAAAAGTTATTTAATGTAATCACAAGAGTGCCAAACACTTGGAGATGCTGGAGGGCAGCAATTCCCTCCCCGAGACGAGCAGCACTCGGGGCTTTCTGCTCTTTCTAGGGCTCGGTCGATCTCTCGTGGGATTTTCTCTGACTTCTCTTTTCTAATCTTTCTTTTTAACTATTTTGCATGATGTGCATAAGAAAAAAAAAAAAAAGGGGGGGAAAAAAAAAGGCGCCTCTGGCGCCCAGGCTTGGTTCTTGTTTCTGTTTGCAATTGACTGACAGACCTCAAGGCAGGTTTTTCTTTCCTCCTTTTCTTAAATATTGTGTATGTTGCACTTTTATCCACTACACAGGGCTATTTCTGCGATGTCCAAATAAAAAAGAAAATGAAACAAAACGGAAAAAAAAAAAAAAAGAACTTTATAAGTGCGGATCTGCCGTGTTTTCCCGCGTGCTGCCGGGGCCCAGTGAGTGTCCCTCCCTGTCCTCCCAAATAACCCCAAAATAACTAAGGAAAACCTTGCCACTCTCCGGCACACACCCCTGCTCATGCTGAATAATTAATTTTAACTAATATTTATTTATGGGATTTTTTGTTTTTGTTTTGTTTGACGGGAAAACGCTCCAGGGGCGCAAATTGAACGGAAAAATTCGATGCGAGGTTCCGAAAGCGGCTGTTGGGGATGGGGGGGAAAAAAGGTGCCTTTCCCCTTCACTGCTGGGAAAACCTGTGGAAAATGGGGGTTTTCATCCCAAGATCGCGTTGCTCCCTCTCAAAATCCAAATCCTGGTGTTAAAAAATGCTGTTACCCCTCCTGCCACACCACCGAGGGCAGCAGCCAAGCTTTGTGCCAGGGGAATAAAATACAATGACGGGTGGGAAACGGGTCTAGGGTGGGGATTTTACTGCAAAGAAAACCATCTATTGCAATAAAAGCAGGATGCTGCTGAACTGGGATTTGTACAGGATGACCGGGGGGCAGATGGATTAATCTGGGGTGGGACAGGGAGCTGGTACACAGAACTCCCCTCCCCACCACCTTTCCTATTTATTGCTCCATTTTTAACCCACACAGTCTCTCCCACAGCCAGGATGGGACGAGGAGCTTTGCTAACTTGCTCCCTTGAAAAAACCCCCAATTATTTTCATTTTTCCCCCAGCAGGTTCAGCTCTGAGGTCAGAGCCACATGGCTTGGACTCTGTGGGCACAGTTTTGGCCCCAGGATTTTCTATTCTGGGGGACCCAATGCACTCGCAAAGCACAAGATGGGTCTCTGAGAGGGATTTTTTTCCCCAAAACGAATGGGTTTTGCCCCAACCAGAATCTGGGGTGAGCCCAGGGCTTTGGTGAGAGCAGATGCAGCCTCAGAGGAGCAGAACGGCCCACATCTGCCAAAGAGGCAGCGCTGGGGAGCTCGTTAGACACATAACCATGGGCTGGATGCAGCACTTAATTAACAAAGTTTAACAAAAAGCCCCCTTTTTTTTGCGTGAAAATCTGATCTATGGGTCTGCCAGACCTGTTTTCCCACTTTCTCCCATGCACCAAAGAAACCTCCAAGCACCCAAACCGCCCTGAAACCCAAATGTACCCACAGGGGCTCCAGGGATGGGGTCCATGCACAGCCTGGGAGCCCCCCAAAAACACCTCAACACCCGGCAGAAGCCGGGAATGAACCAGAGAAGCCGGAGGGGGAAGGGAGGCTGAAAGGAGAGGAGATTCTGCTAAATTATAAACCGCCCTTTTTTATGCATCTTTCATGCACGGCACATCAATAATGGAGCAGGAGAGCCCGGCGTGCCGAGCTCGCTTACGGGAGGACGCGGGATGTGGAGGGGTGAGGACAGAGGGATGCGGGATGGATGGTGGGGAAAGATGTGCCCAAGAGCCCGGTCCGGGCACCCCGCAGCCGTGCGTGGCCGGGAGATGATATTCTGAAGGAGGATTTAAGGATTAAACTGGCCGCGGGGCAGGAGTTTATTGCATACATTATTTAACAGATGGCCCAACGCAGGCGGCCGGCTGCCTACGGTCTCCCCGGTGACCTTGGCTGGGAGATGCTGGGGCTGGGAAGGGAGCCTGGTGCCGTCACCGTGCTCAGGTTACAGGGATCAGAGGGGGAAAAAAAAAAAAAAAAAGCACAAAAACCCGGGAGTCAGCACCCAGCAGCTCCAGCGCCAAATCCCCATGGAAACTGCAAAAAGCCCCACCCAACCCTGGCCCATATGGGCTGCTTGTTTTGGCAGGGGTGGGGAAAAAAAAGGAGGAAAAAATAAAATATATGGAAAAAGCCATTTGCAGGTTTATTTGCCAGAGGGAACTTGACAAGCAAGGCGCCGAGGTCCCAGCGGCACCCAGAGCACTTGCAAAATCCCACTCCCGTGCCCAAACACAGGCTTTAATCCCATTTTTTCCCGGGGACTTTGGCGCTGGGGGAAGGTGCTGAAACAGTTGCTCTCCCAGCAAAGCCAACCCTGACCCCTCACACTCAGAACCAGGGGGTATTTTTATCCATCTCTAAAGCCGCTCGGTTTTCCACACGCTTTAAGGCATCAGCTCTTGGAAACCCCCTGGAATGACACCACTCCCAGGGGACTCGGAGCGTAGACACCCATTTTGGGGCTGGATCAGTGTCCCCAACACTGATTACCCACACCACCAGAGCAGCTGGCAAATCTCACAGAAAAATGCCCCAAAATCGAGGGCAGTGGGTTGCAGTCAGAGAGGGGGACAGGGAGTGGGTGAGTCCCCCAAAGCTCTTCCCAAAAGGACGCCGATGTAGCAACTGCCCAAAATAAATATTCTCTTTTTCTTCCCCTCCTCCATCAAAACTAGGGCATGTTAAACTAGGCCAGCACTCCTAAAGTAATTTATTTATCATGGGGGGGGAGCAAGGAGGGATGGCATGGGCTGCAGAGAGGGGATGCTCCACTCTGCCCCCAAATACTGTGGGTTTGGGGAATAAAATGGGTCAGTTTTTCCCTCTTTTCTCGCTGAAAGACCACAGTTACTCAGAAGGAGGCAGCTCTCTTTGGTGGAGAAGACACAAAAATGGTCATTCTAGTGGTATCAAACCCTTTTTGATCTATTAGCTTCACTGTTTTCACTGTGTGGGGTTTGTGGTTTATGTTGTGGCATTAAAAAGAAAATACGCTTTAGAAAAATAAAAAATGGGTAAAGACATGAAGGAAATTTTGCCCTGCTTAGAAACTCAATTTTTTATTCCTCCCCCCTGCTTTTTTGACACAGGAATGAGAAAAATCCAGTGGATGTCCAAAATCTCTCTGCCCATCCCTGCCTGGGAATGGGTCTGGACAAGAGGGGTTTGGCCAGCCCCCTCCTCCTGGGTGCTCCCCCATCAGCTCTGGCCTTGGGGCCTTTTGGGGGGGCTTAATTTCCCTCTACCTTTGGGTTTCCACTTGGGAGGAGGAGCTTCTGATGGTGTGGACCCAAAGTGCTGCTGGTTTGGGGTTTTTGGGGTCTGCGGATCCCCCATCCCTGGGCTCTTTGTCCCACAGCCACTAGAGGCCACTGAGGCTCTGTGATCCCGCCTGATTTATTCATGCAGGACAGTTGGACACACACCAGCACCCAAAAATCTAAAACCAGGGGAAAATTACATATATCAGGTACAGAGGCAGAAAAACTGGGGGAAAACAGGGCAGAGAAGGGCTGTTCACAAGCTCTGTTGGTGTCTCCAGGGACATCCCCACCCTGAGATCCCATGGGACAGGGAAAGTGCTTTTCTCTCTCCAAATCTGTTCAAGCTTTTCAGCTGCCCAGGACTGTGCTGAGCACTCCCAGGATTTTTGGGAGCCCTCCTCAATCTGAACACCTCCAGAGGAGCGGGAGATGCTGCCCCAGGTGCAGCAAACCCTCCTGGTCCGGGGCTTGGAAGAGCTGGGCTCACCAGGAATTTAATGGAGGGGTCAAGAAGACACTCCCGGGATGTGGCACTCCCCACCTTGGGAATATCCTGCGAGAAAATCCCTAAATCCCTCCTGCTGCTGCCTCGGGAAGCCTGGGAGCGGAACTGCCTGTCTCCCCAGGCTCCTGATTTTCATTTTGCCTGGAGTTAAAATTTTCTAGGATATTCTAAACAGCCGTTCCCACTAAAGAGGGAAACATCAGACATCTTCATTTATCCACCGCTCCAGGTGTCAAACTGTTGCATGACAATAACAAGTGGGAGACACCTCACCCAAAAAACGAGCGAAATTCCACTCGGAGCCAAACGCAGCAGCAGATGCTCAAATAAAAAACAATCCTGAGGCACCAGCAGGCTCTGCAGCCCTGCCAAAGCCTTCCCAGACAAATAGTCTGTGTTTGGGGAGGGGGATTATATCTTTTGGGAGGTTGGGATGCCTGTGCAGCCTCACATTTGGGTATTTTCAGACCCTCAGTGGGCAGGTGAGAACGGCCACTGCCTTCTTGGGGCTGCCCCAGTTCCCAGCCTCACTGGCTTTGGAAGAAGCTTCCCTGTCAGTGATTTTTCCAAGGCAATTCCTCCCCTGGGTTCCAGCGGGATGTGCCTGTGACAGCAATTGCCCTGTTAAATTCCCGTTAGCAAAGCAACGCCAGGAATATGAAGGAAGCCAGAGGAATTTGGGCTCCTCTCCGTGCTACAACATTACAATTATTAATATATATAACGTATATAATGTATTACAATATTATATAATATATAATATTACATAATATATAAAAATAATACATTATGTAATGTATAATATTATCTAATATATATCTAAAATAATATCTCTATATGAAAAAATTTGGCAGAGATATGTGTGACACCTGCATGAGACCCTTTACTTTGCAGATATCCCTTTTCCCATGGGAAAGAGGGAGCAGGGTGGGATATCCCCATGGGAAAAAGGGGAGCACAGGAACTGCTGGGAGCACCTCCTGGGGTCCCCGGAGCACGTCTTGAAGCATCAGCCCCTTCCTGGGGTGGGAGAATAAAAGAAAAGGAAGGAAAATAACCAAACCACAAAAATAACCCCCCAAACAGGGCCATGTGATCCCACACTCCGAAATACCCGGTGGTGAGTCACGGGTGCAGGGATGGGGCTGATCCAGCTCTGAGTCAGCCCGGGCAGCCGGTGCAGGCTGTTTGTGTCCCCCCCTCCCCAGCTCCCTGTTTCCCATTTTTGCTCCAAACCTGCACAAATATAAATAAATACTCTGTGACTCAGAGGCACGTGGTGGGGCTCAGCCCGCAGCAGCCCCTTCCAGCCACCCTAATTCCTGATGGTGCCACAGTGAAAGGGCTGGACACACCTGAACCCCACAAAAACCAGGCCTGGGAACCTTTGAAATATTTAAAATCTTTGGAGGGGGAAACACACACACACACATGGGAGGTTCTCGTTGATGCCACTGCAAGGAAGCA